TCTAAGTCAAGATGAAGTTGAGAAAATGAAACAAGAGGAAGGTACGTTAATCGTATCATTAAATTTTTAATTCGTACAATTATCAATTATTATTATGCATTTTTAGAAAGAAAGATTGCTACTCTAACGCGAGACGAATTAAAATCATGGGCTCAACTCGATGAAAACGAAGGTTTGGAAGATTTAGAGGAAGCATTAGAAGATCAGGATAACCGGCGACCTAAGTAAGCCAAGTTGTATTCATTCTACGCATTTGAACGTGTGATTATTAAAACTTTTTTATCTTATTATTTCTCTTTTCGTTTCCATTTCTTTGTGTCTGCAAGAAAAATGAAAGAGACCTATAATACCACTTATTAAGTAATAGGTATAAATACTACCTATTAAGAAATTCCATACGCGATGCATTAATGCTGAAAAATATGATAGTAGCAAAATTGATTTTTCTTTTTCATTTCTACAATTCTAAAGCAAACAATTCCACCTCAACAAATTTTGCTCATCTCTAGAATTTCTATACAATGACATAATTTTCCAAACGCTGCCTATACAAAATATTAAATTTTAGTAGAGATTTATTGTAAAAACAATAAGAGAATATATCTTTACATGTACGAGTATTATAGCATTTTTTCCCATCGTGGTACATGCTCTGTACATAAAAATATAAAATAATGTAATTGTTTCTCAATTGTAAGATGATATGTATGTTTATCTGTTACAAGACCGGCAGTTATATTTCAATGTTTATGTAATTACCAAATTTTCACGAGTATTAATTATTAATGTTTAAAGGGTACCATAAAAGATATTCTTTATACATTTAGTGAAATTGTATTTCCATAGTAAAATTATAGTTGGAAAAAATACTTCGATATACAAAGTGATTGAACATTGTGCGAATATCAGTATTTTTATATCTATATAATAAATTTTACATGTATATATAATTTATATCAAGTGCTTTTCGTTGTAGTTGTTATTTTATTATAAAATGTGCATGCTTATTATAATTATCGTATAAATAATTTTATTAAGAATTAGCGATTGCTTTCTCTTTGTGAAATAACGTATATTTGTATATAGGCTTATGAAATTTACATTCACATTGTACCTTGCAGGTTGTGGTTATGCTTACACAGGCATTTACTGCATATTATAATTCTTTGATAAGTTTCTAAAGATTATGTACATCGAAATATAATTTTCACAAGCAAAAACTTCATGCTTTGATACATGTTCTTCACATGCACCGCAAGCGCACTTCAAAGATTCCAAAGAATAATTATTATTTATTTAATGCCAATATTTGCTTTCATTTTCATTTATATGAAAGTTTTATCACCTTTCAAATCCATAACATAGAAATAATTATTTCTTGGAATCACTTAGCACCGATACATTTTACAATTACATCGTAGATTTATATAGTTGACGTGTGGTGTAGTTTAATATTTTTGTATTGTTACTTCATTTGTATATAAGTCATACAATATTTTTTTTTAGCCTTTGTACCGCAACGTTGCTTTTGTACTTTCTTCTTTAATGAATAAACATTCAAATTGTGGCACATGTATATGATTTGTCAGTGTGCATGCTCGTTACCTTGCAGTAGCCGACTGAGTTCGCGAAGTTCGATCGCCCTTCTGCAGAATCTTCCAAGCAGTGTAAGGACAGCGAAAGCAGAACGTCGCTTGAAAGAGAGATTGATACAGGAGGTATTACTTTTTTGAATGTTTTTAATCGTTCAAATTTCTTATTTATCACGATTAATAAATGTTCTAAATTGTTCCGTAATTTATAGATAATTTTGTTAAATTGAAATACCAATGTCCAAGATGATTTATACTTCTTATTCAATTTTTTTTATCACGTAGGGTATAATTTCTGACGAAGATGAAGAAAGTCATTTGAGCCCTGCCGAGCAGAGAGCATTAAGGGCAGAAAAGCGTGCAGCATGGAGACAAGCACGTTTAAAATCTCTGGAACAAGTAATTATCAATGTTACTTCCCATAATTGGATGATGCATACAGTAAATAGCAGTTACATTTTCATTCATGTATCGAACGTGTTTGTATTCAGGATGCTATTCAAGCACAGATAGTAATTAAGAAAATGAGTGAAACGATGGATACTACAAATAAGACAGATCCTGTGCAGGATTCCACAGATTCCGCTGTTATTGCAGTTCCCGAAATAGAAAAGGCAACTGATGTAAGCACCCACAATATACTTTTGCTTCTTAATCATACCACCAATAAACTAAAACAACAAACACTATCTAACGATGCGTTTAAAACAGATTAACCAGCATTTTTTATCGTACTACTAATTATTTCTTTGCTCGGCTGTAGTTCTAACTTAGTGTCCGTACATTTACAATGTTACGTTAACTACAGCGGTACCCCCTTTGTCTGTCTCACTATCATAGTTCACTACGTTACGGCCGTCTAGTGCAGATTTTCCCAAACTTGCTGTACGCAGCAAGGTGGGTCCCCCTAAAGAGATACGCGAATCCGAGAAAGTAGTGGACGAGAAGGTCACTCGGCGTACCGAGGAATACGTGGACGAGGTGACGGGTGAACGGCGCGTCCGAACAGTCGAATACGTCGAGAAGCTTATCGAGCGACAGGTATTATAAATCCTAGAGTTTGCACAAAATTCAAGCACCGAATATTATCCGTTCACATCGACGACTCGAGACGTGTTTCGAGTAAAGCTCAGTTCTTAAACTATACTGTACTGAAACTTTGGAATTTATAATTGACATGTAACGTGATATAATAAATTATAGGAGCAAATTACTACAAGTAATTACGAGTAATTTTTGGAAAATTTATCACGACGTGTACAACTAAAATTACAATTCGAAGTTTTAGTACAAGCACTTGGCACAATAGAAAAAAAGTTCAAAATATAAATCACAGCAAAATCATGATTGGAGTATCATATCAATGCTCCGATTAATTTAATTAGAACGAGGTGATATTCCTAAAAGTTTGAACTAAAAGGGAACTAAAGTTGCATTCTTTGGAAAGAAAGAACATGTATTGTTTGTACGTTGCGTTTTATATGCGTGTGCTCATATATTTATAATTTTAAAATAACGCGTATGCATATGCATGCTACTCTTAAAAATATTTTGCCTCAATGCACAAAATTTAATGAAAACACTAGTTCAACGGTTGTGTTTGTTGTTCCAAGAATCCAACACTGACCATGGAAGTGCAACCTGCACCACCTTGAGCAATTGATTTCATTTCCACTGATCACTAACAAACTTCTTCTCGTACTATTGGTAATGCTGCTATTGATTTTTCTTACTCACTTACTTACGCATGTACGAAGGTATTTCCTTTCTAAATAATTACTACAATTATTTTGGTGGTATAGCTATGTATCAAGTATTACTACCTCAAAGTATTATAAATTTCATCCGATTCTGTAATATATATACACACA